AGTACGAGGAGTAGCTGGGGAGCTGGAAGATGAGAACTGGCGACTTGGTAGTACAAATGTAGTACGCAGAGCAGCCGGGGAGTGGGAAGATGAGAACTGGCGACTTGGCAGTGCAACTTTAGTACGCAGAGTAGCTGGGGAGTGGGAAGGTGAGAACTGATGAGTGGGCAGTAGCTGAGAACTCGCGACTTTGTAGTACAACTTTAGTACGCGGAGTATCTGGGGAGCTGGAAGATGAGAACTGGCGAAGTTGTAGTACAACTTTAGTACGCGGAGTATATGGGGAGCTGGAAGATGAGAACTGGCGACTTTGTAGTACAACTGTAGTACGTGGAGCAATCTGTGGAGCTTGAAGCTGAGAACTGGCGACTTTGTAGTACAACTTTAGTACGCGGAGTATCTGGAGAGCTGGAATGGAAGATGAGAACTGGCGACTACGCGGAGTATCTGGGGAGCTGGAAGATGAGAACTGGCGACTTTGTAGTACAACGGAGTATCTGGGGAGGTGGAAGATGAGAACTGGCGACTTTGTAGTACAACTTTAGTACGCGGAGCAATCTGTGGAGCTGGAAGCTGAGAACTGGCGACTTTGCAGTACAACTTTAGTACGCGGATGAGTCATCTCTCGCGGCTGAGTCATCTCTCGCAGCTGCTCTGGCGCCCCTGCAGCTGAGTCATGTCTCCCGACCACCCGGCTCTCTTGAGAGGTTGACACACACACACACACAGAGACCCACGCACTGCCTCAACTTACTCGGAGACACACACACACACAGACAGAGACTCATACACACACAGACATAGATACACACACACAGAGACGCACACACTGCCTCAACTCACTCGACTTAACACTTCACACTGAACACTTAACAGGTAACTCACACTCTGACTTCCTACGTGATGAAAAATGCTTTCGGGCCACTCGTCGTCTAGTTTGTGTAAGCACCTTGGGGAAGGATGTCGTGCACAATGGAAATGGGTTCATGGGGAAACAGGTCAGGATTAGCTCAACTGCCGCAGCTTCGGCAGCCAGTTTCGCAAGCATAGCCTTTCGACCACCAAGACTCACTCTGATGAAGCTGAGGTCGCATTTTGCGACTCACAATTCGCTAAGGATCATAGACAACCTCATCACCAACCAGTCTATTAAAGGAAGTCTGACAGCAAGTGTCAAGGTGTCAAGCAGTCACATTTGGTTTTGGTTACTAGAACATTGCAATTGTTCCGGGACAGGTACCAATTTTGCTGTCGAACACGTTGTTCCAGGCCATTGGTGCCACCATCGACACTCAGCAGGGTTTGTTGAACAGATCAATTCCTAAGCATCAACTCGCAAGGCCCTGCGAATCTCGAAACGGCCAAACAAAAAATCCAGGAGTTCAGCTGAACTCAGAACATCGTGTGCTCGTGCCAGAACCAGCCAGAAACGACCAACCAACAGCCACGAACGATGTGCAAATGAGTGATGCTCGATCCAACCGCGTGAAAGAGTTGATTGAGCAGTTCAAGCACTGTGCAATTCGGAGTCAAGCGCAAGGAACTCAAGGAACGGTCAAGTCAAACCAAGCTCTCAAATGCTAGAGTTTCCGCGATGGAGCAACCACAAGCCCCATCGATCACATGTGACCAGTCATGTCGACAAAGGCGGACATCCATGCTTGCCTGGCCAAAGTCTAACAGGCGGAGCAGCAGGCCAAAAAGGAGATCACCCTGGAAGAAATCAAGAACCTTCCAATCAAAGAGCAAGGTCAATTCCTGATTACCTTCAGGAAAGCGCGCCAAAGAAAAACCTACGCTGGGATGTAGGTGAAGGAGCTTGCCTACATCAAATGGTTTTTGGCGACATACCACGAGTCACCAGAGCACTAGAGGTCGATCTGGCACATCACCCGGAGGGTGGTGTACATCGAGGTCGAGATGCGCCTGATTAAAAATCTAGCCAGTGTCGAGATAACCTCAAAGGCAAAATGAAGCCCAAGGCCAAGGCCATGCCTCACCAAATGCCCGTGTCTCCACAAGACCTTGGCGATGCCGATGTGGACGAGAGCTGGGAACCCGTGAAGGAGGAGGAGGAGAAGAACACAGTGTATGCAGATCTGGCCCCGCTCCAAACTCGGATATTGAACTGGAGAGTGCACTTCAGGAAGTGACTGGGCACCTCCGCGATTCATGAGCACTGATTGGCTGGAGGCTTTCGGGCTAAGACCTAGCCGAGTGACCGGCAGCAAGAAGACTGAGTTCACACAAATGAAAACAAGGTTGCGCAAGCGCAGCATCGAATGCAGCCTGACCCCCAACAAACTTGTGCGTTAGAGATCCATTTGTTAGAAGTAATTGGTCATGAAACGAGTGACCTAACGAAACAAGTTCGGGATCTTGGGGGACCGATCCGATGGCAAGCGACGCACATTTGGTTTGCCGAGCTCAATCCTCTCAGCAGGCCGTCTTCCGCCAACACCTTTGGAAGTTTTGGGCAGGGGTGCAAGACGACACCGCATCGATGGGAAGACCGCCGAACTGCAAGCCAGCCTCAGTCCAAACAAGAAGTTCTTGAACAAATCACTGAAGACATCAAACCCACAGGCTCGGCAAAGTAGTTCTCAAGGACATGCACATCATGCAGAGACTACAGCGCTTTTGTTCCCAGAAAAGAAGATCCAAAGAATCATGGTGTGTAAGGGATCCGACCGGACCTTGGCACCACCAACAGATCTAGTTCGAAACGGGACATCATATCGAAGAGCAATCGCTGCGAGCCGAAACGGTGCATCAATTCGAGCTGAAAAGGACTGGGAGTTTTAGTAAGGTCTATCAGCACAAATAATAACCATCTTTGCCAGCAGTGGAACTTCCGACAACGAAGGATCGGTCCACGTCATCAGCTGAAGCCGCCAACTGTGCCCATACATGAAACGCATTGCAGCATGGTAGGTTCATGACACACCGTGATGTCGCTGTGCCATGAGGTTTTGCGCGGCCTCAGTGGAAACTCCGTTTGGGTAAGTCCGTGTCATTGGGGGAAGGAAAACGTGCTGGTGTAAATTCGGCGCGTCGCTGGGGAGTGGGATGATTAGCGGTGTCCACGAGGCTTGGCGTTAGATTGTTGTAGCTAGTCTGTGGCAAGCCTCACAAGAGTTTTCCACAAGAGCGTCAGGGTGTCCCACATGAGTGTCCGGCAAAAGTGTCGCACGAGAGTCCCCCACAACATGGCCCACAAGGGTGTTCTAGAAGAGTGTCTCCTACAAGAGTGTCCGACACGAGAGTCCTGCTAGAGTGTCCCACAAGAGCTTTGCACAAAAGTGCCCCGCAAGAGTGCCTCACGAGAGTGTCGCACCACAGTTTTCCACAACAGGACCCCACGAGGGTGTCCCGCAGGAGTGTCAAACAATGTTTGGCCGCTTGTTTTCATTCGGGTTCGTGGGTTCCATCTTGTTTGTAGATTTGTATAAATGTAACGTTGTGTTTTGGTGTTATGTATGTATGTATGTATAATACTGTTGGTATGTTTTGTTTTGTTTTGTTGTGTCCTTAACGTGCGCCATGTGATGTATTGTTTTCTTGTACTGATGTACGTCATGTAAAATAATTGGATGCGGTTAACGTAGTGACATGTATGGTGGATGTCTTTACTTGTGTTTTAAGGTTTTGTATGCGATGTTCTGTTGTTTATGTATGTAGGTAGGGATGTATGTATGTGTGTATTGATGTATGTATGTGTATATATATATATATGCAGTAATATAACGTAACGTTATGTATGTATGCACGTATGTAAGTATTGCCGTATTGCTGCACTGATGTCATGTATTGCAATGTAATGTCCGCGTGCATCTTTGTGTAGGCTGTCAAATGTCGCCTAAATCCTTTCTGCATTCTGCGGATGGTAAGTTTGGGAGTGCTGAAGGCAACACCCAACTGCAGTGGACAAGACTTTGTTGCATTGGGATGCCAGGAAGTAAGGAAGGATCACTTTAGCTAATGATCTGCGATTCCGCGATGCCTTTTTCTGTGCAAGGAGTTTGTGAATTTTTCTGCTTTAAAGCATTCCCCCACAGTTTAGGTTTCGACTTAGATTTGAGGACTTTGTCCAACAAATGTCAGTAATAACACCTCATCTCTCAAACTGGAGGGAGCGCTCTCAAGCACACTTTAACCATGTATTACAGTTCATTTTTTTTCTCGTTCTTTTTCCAGGCAAAATCTTCACAAAGTTTCAAGGGATGATCTGAAGATGCACCACTGGAGGCCAGCGGATGAGCTCGCACCTGAAAACGCCAAAGGCGAACCAAAAAGGGCGGACTGCACCGCTCCGGGTGAGAACAACACTGGGGCCAAGTTGGAACACGTACTTTTCCAATCCCCAAATATGGTCTTGGAATTGTGTTTTTTGGCAGCTATGTATAAACTGACTGGCCCCGCCACATACATGAACACATGTGCTGTTCAACTCTTGATTCCCCACTTGGTTTCGCAGTGTTCTGCAACACATGTCAAGTGCAGTGAACAGCTTGGCTCAAAAGTATCTCGCGCTGCAACAGCTTTAAAGGTTCACCGCAAGAGATGGCTCGTCCGACTTTGTTGCCTTTGGCCCTGTGCATGGCTGCTGTGCTCCTCTTGAAGTCGACCACCTTCGTTCAGGCTCCAGCCCGAACAGTGGAGGGCCCTCAGCATCAGCTGCGAGTCTTGGAGACAGCTTCCATGTCAACGGGCCTCGCTATGGCTGGCTCTTTGCCAGCCTTTGCCACATGGGGTGAGGGCTCTGAGTCTGGTCAAAACATCGACCCCGACTCCACCGAGTACTACAACCGAAAGGTCCTGAACGCCACGGCCATTTGTTTGACTTTTGCTGTCTTCCTGTTCGGCCTTGTCGTGTCGCAGGCCCGAAAGCTTGTGGAGAACAAGTGGCTGAACTGAGCCGCTCTGAGAGGCTTTTTTCAGAGGTTAGCATTCACTGGGACAAGACAGCTGAGTGCT